AAATAAATTAAGTAACATACGTGTATGAATAGAAAAATAAGAAAATGAAACTAAATATTTTTCAACTAAATTGGAAAAAGTTTGTAAACATATTTGGAAAAAGTTTTAATGAAATTTCTACTAATTTGCAGTTGAACAAACAACAAAAGCAGCTAAAATAGTATTTTTTACAACTCATTAAATTACTGAAGCACAAATTTTTATGCTTGCATTTCGATTTCGAACAAGCACAGCACTAAGTTTAATAACTATAATATTAATTAAAAAAATTATGTGATTTTAACCGAAATTATGATAATCAATTAGAGTGCTTTTATTTAAATTTGGTTTACATATTATGTTAAATTAATCAAGAAAATGCATACAATTATGAATTGATTTTAAAATATGTCACTCATACGCCACCAACAAAAAATTCATTATGTTAATGCATTATGAATGTGTAGTTTTTATTCACAAGTTATTTCTTTTCCATATGTAAAAAGTACTGTAATAATATTAGTTTTATTTACGAATTTTTATTTAATTTCATTTTAGCATATAAAAAATATATTACTTAAATTTTTTTATGGTTTATTTTAACGGATTATTAGCGGATTATTGTGTTTATTTCATATTCATAATATTTTTAAACTTTTTTCTTTTAATTTATTGCTTACATCGGCGAACACAAAAGGATTACAGATTTTTTATATAATTTCTAAAAATACAACTCTATTAAAACTACAAATTCAGGTTTAAAAAATAAAATTTTTACGCTTTTTATCTCAAAAAAAATTTCATATTATATTACATACTTGATTATTTATTTAAGTCGTCAAATTTAAAATAAAACTAATTTAATCGTTATTTGAAAGCTTGTATAAAGTTTGAAGTAATAAAATTGTTCATAATAACTATTATAACATCCCTGATATAGAAATCATTAAATTTTAAAACATTGGCCTTTTTTTTATTCAAATGAACTACATGAGTAAATATTTATTTAAAATAACAGTATTTTCATTAAAAATGTTTATATAAGCTTACGACACAATAACCTTAACGCTAAGAATAAAAAATTGATCTACAGCCAGATAATCAGACCGGTACTTCTTTGCTGGTGTGCCGCGTATAACAAAGCTGCCAACTATACTATCCAAAAGCTACAAATTGCTTAAAATCAGGCTCTCCGAAGACTCTTCAAAGTAACATGGTACATTCACACGAATGACATGCTAAGAGACCTCAGAATAAACCCGGTCAAAAAATATATGAGGAACAAAGCCCTGAAGCTATACGCGAAAAGTGACAGGCTGCCCTACATAGCACTACATAATCTCAGAGCACTGACTAGCAGTACGAGACGACATACAGAACTTAGATCAGTCATTGAAGCTTATAAAGAATACATATATTTGTCAAAGAGAAGTGAGGAGCTCTGTAGAAACTCACCAGCTAACAAAGAGTAAAAGTGTTCAGTTGCACTAACTCGAAAAAATCTTAACATAATTATTAACAAAATGTAAATTGAAAAGAATAAATTAGTGAAGCTAATTAAGTTATTTTTAAACTCAATTGGAACTTGAAGGTTTTATAGTATCCTAATCATGATACTTTTTTCCTAACTTGGGTCCCGACATACTTTTCAGTTCATTTATTTTGTGTCTTAATCCTTTTAAATATCTTAACAAAAATATATAACGATTATTCAGCTTCTAACAACATGTTATATGCAATTCAATTTTATTACAAATAAAACCATTTAAAAAAAGTTAAATTTAAGTATATAAATTGTTATCTTTTTAGCTTACCTGGATTATGTTCCCTCAAAATCTGCTTAAACACACCATTAGAAAAAGTTAAGTAAAGTTAAATAAATTAGTGAAAACAAAAGTAAGATAGAATAATAAAAAAGAATTAAAAATTTTTTTATATATTTTTTTTTCATACAGTAATATACCTTAGTGGCCTTAAAGCCCAAACTTAAATTCGCTTCAACTCCTGCCGGGAAACTGTTGAAAAACACTGCGAAAAAGGCAGGTAGCAGCAAAAGCATTTTCTGCAAATAGAAGAAATCCATTGAAATGCGTGTGAGTAGACATATCAAATCTAAAAAGTTCTTGTTGAAATATTATAGTAAAAAGGGTCAATCCATATAGTGTACATGTATATATATACATACAATATATATAAAATAATAATATATCCTGAAACAGTATTTCACATGAATTATGCACGCAAGGTAAATTAAGGTCATTTGAATGTCTGCACCTTGAGTTTACTGCTTGGCGGTCGTGTTTTACATCCCTGGCTGCTTATTTAATGTTATCACTTTATTATTATAAAATGGTATGGCAACAGTCCCCACTGACCCAACAAGTAAAAAGTAAATACATTAAATAAAATAAATAAAAAATCGAAGAAAGAACAACATTTTTAGTAGGCTGTTGTTGGTTCTATTGGCCACTTTCGTATGTGTCGAGATTCCCTTAGCCATTTTATTTGCCACTGAGCACTCTTTTATTTTAAAAGTGGTACATTGCACGCTTTTTTAAAAAAGCACAAAATAAAAATGAATGCAAAGCAATACGAATGTAAAATAAAATGAAGAAAATAAATATAAAAGCAAATAGAAAAAAAACGACCTAACGAAATGGTCGACTGCCTCTTAAACAAACTTTGTTTTTATTTGGTAAATTAAAGGGCAACAATTTAATACTCCTGGGAAAAGTGGCTAAAAATTGCTTTTTTATTCATTCCGTTCCCCCTTGTCACATAAAAAAGGATTTTTGCCTTATTCTACTTATTGTATTAAAGTATTTAAGCATAAAATTTACACAAAAATAATTTTAAAGCCTTTTTCATTTATTTTATTTATTAAATCAATTTGAAAAGGTTCTCCTTTGACTGAGATGTGAGATGAGATCTTTTATAACAAATTTTACATTTTTCCGTCCGTGAAGTATTGTTCCAATCATATAATATTATTGCTTATAACCTTTTTAATGCTTTAAGTAAAAAATTCTAAATATTAATATTTCCTTCCTTCTTAAATTCAAATAAAGTAATATTAAATAAAAAGCTTCAGTTCTTAATTAAAGTATAGAAATTTAATTAAGTTGGAATGCAGATACTCGTTGTTCCTTCTATTCGTTACTTTTGAGCTTACGAAACATCCAATATTTGGCTATGTATGGCATAACCATCCCTGAAAAAATTTATTTAAGTGCTAAAAGCCACATACAAATACTTAAATTATGCTGCAATGTGCTTCAAAAGCAACACTATCGAATATTTTACATAATCAAGAGACCTTTATCCAGATTATGTGTCTTCCATACTTCTGTCCCAGAAAACCGTCATCAAGAAAATGGATGTAGAAGCCTTAGATACACTTGCTTCAATTCGACAAACTTTCTAAGTTAAATTATGTTAATAATATTTATTTTATAAGCAACATATTGAAAACAGTCGGAACGAAGCTTTATTTTATATTTGAATATGTTAAAACGGTCAGTGTTATAATAAAGATAAATAAAACAAACTCACACGAATTGCAGCCACTCTTAGCAACCCCGTACCAATAACTGATGATAGAAAATTTTTATGCTTCTATGAAAGTGTAAGATAATAAGTATTTTAATTTAAATTAAAACGATTTGAGCGTTATTGATTCTAAAAATTCCCCGGTTATATATATAACATTATACTCCACACATATGTGATTGGTTTAACATATCATAGATTTTTTATTTCAAATACGTTGTTCTCAGAATCCTGCTTGATCACGCAGGAATCAATGGTAATGTGTCAATCTTGCGAGGTTAGACAATTTATTTAATTGTGGTTTAAGCTGAATTCTGGATTAAGCTGGTGTGCAACTAGGTCTCTGATTGATTCTCCGGTTTTCAGCCTAGAGAAGATGCTACTGGCGCGACATTCCAGGTAACCATCACGCTAAAGAGCTGGTTTATACCTACAAGTATGGTAAGGTATCCTTCTTCAGCAGAATAGAGTTGAGGTTGCTGGTGGGATATACAACATGATATATCCCACCTGTGGTATCACCTTAACAAAATGGATTTGCTTAGAAGCAGACGAGACTTCCAGTCACATTCTCTGTGACTGCCCAGCTTTGATTTGGGCCAGGAGAAGGTCACTGGGTCCAGAATTACTTTCTACGCTTCTGACATTAGCAGATCAAAAACGGCTGACATGCTGGCTTTTATTCGGAAGATCAATCATTCCGTTCGGTTAGGGTATGTTGCAGTGAAAACAACACCCTTTGTAGCAGTGCTTCGCTCCATTGGAAACTGGTACCCTGTTTATTCCTGTTCCCATTCCCTTATCAGTCTATTAAATTTTATTGAAATAAATGATTCAGTACATCATAACTTGTGTGAATAATAATATACCATATTGCTAAATCTATATATAATTATTATAGGTTCACTTCTATAGCTAATATATAACTAAACAGTAGATTTAATAAAGCTTTTATTTATGTTTTTATTTATGTTTTCTTCATTAAATATAGTTGATTTAATTGTATTTTTATTTTGAATATTTTTATCATTAATAAAGTTTCAATTTACGATTTCATGATTTTTGTATGTAATTAATTAATACATATAGTGAATAATACCATTAAAAATCAATTAAATACCTATATAAAGGTAGTTTATTAATGATAAAGGTTTCAGCATATAAAAATAATGTGCAATTTATGTGAAAATTAAAAAAAAAAAAGAAATACTCATAAGCCAAGTAAAATAAGTGCAAATAATGTTTTGTGAAGTATTTTTACGAATATTAACTGCAGTTACAATAAATTATGTACACACCCACATAATTATTGCATTTTTAATGTTACAATGTTACATAAATACATAAATACGTATTAAAAATGTGATATCGCAAAAAATGTATATATATATTGTAAACGATAGCATTCAGGAAGCAAACAGAAGAATGAAAGAAATACTGTTAATCATAAATAATGTTAAGCGCACAAAGTATTTAAAAAATAATTACAATGAAGGCAAACGTTAACAGTACATGAAAATTAAATAAATTGCAGTAACAACGACAGCAATTATAAAAGGACAATAACAGCTCAGAGTACTCGCACAGCTGGCAGGGTGCCATCAACATGCTACACACCACGTAAGCATCATTGAAATCTGCAACAAGCATTGCTGTAATAACGGCAATATTGCACATTTAGCTCTTGTTGTGCTGTTTTATTGTCAATGTAGTTGTTGTTGGTTACAAGCAAAATTAAAAACACTACAAAATTTTGTATTGCAATGCCTATGTGTTGACGTTCACATGTATTGTATCATACCATTTTGTATGTATGTATGTATGTATGTAGTATATGTGATCATTAAATTCTCATTGAAATATATATGAACAGAGATGAATTGGCGTTTGTATGTGTATGTGTGTGTGTCGTAGCCGAGCATAATGAGTTGGGTTGGCTTCAGGGTTTGACGGTTTGTACAATGTAGCAAATGTAAAACTATGACAACAGCAATTAACGCAAATGCAACAACAAAGCGCAAAAAATTTCAACAACAATTATGGAAACATGCACAAATGGCATGGAATACCAAGCAAAATATTATTATTAACAACAGCAGAGACAACATCAATAAAAATAATTACAGACAGACAGCATTTGAACATATCCATGTTATTACTAACAGTGGCACTACCCAAACTGTGAATGCTATAACGAGTGCAGCGAATAGGTTTAAAGACTGGTATAACCAGTTATGATTAATTGTGTAAAGTTTTCTACGTAAGAGTAATTGTAGTTGTTTAGCAGAATTACTACCAAATTTAAAAAAACTTATGACATTATTTTGATGATTATGTTAAGTATAAAAATTGATTTAAATATACTCAAAACGTGTTATATATGCAGTTTGTAGAGTGCACAATATTTTTGTATAAACAGAAAATTTTTTTCACATATCCATATAGCATTACAGATTTTCCTCTTAATGATTGAATCCCTTAAGAAAAACAAAACATTTGCAAAGGAGAATGTATGCAGTAAGCATATGTGTATACATACATATATATATAGATATAGATATGTTAATGTATACAGAACTATATAAATAGGCAACAGTTATTAAAAAGTAAAAAATTCCAAACGGACAGAGAAACTGTACATTTTGAAATTCATAAAGGATGAGCTTCATTAAAATTAATGACTTTGCAATAATTTTAACACAAATGAAAGCTAAAATAAGTTTTCGTTTAAAATAATATTTTCTTTTTTGCATATATATTATTTATGTTATGTTATGTTTTAATATTATTTGAAACAGAGATACTATGTTACATATCTTATATTTTTAAAAGTATTATATAATTATATACACCATTATATGTATAATTATTATAATTATATAAAAATTATGTAATAATAATTATTAAATAATAAAAATTAAATTATTATAATTATACAATAATATAAGAATATTATATTTACACCATTATATCACATATTTTCAGTAGATTTATAAAATTACTTATTTAAAAAAAAATGAGTTCTATGAGACTGCTTTTGAAAATAATTTCAGTCAATTCATTTAGTTTTAGAATCATTTAGTTTTAGTATTTGAATTAAAAGTTGCCTTAAAATGAAAACCTTAATATGAATAAATCCATACTATATCTGCAACACTGATAATATTGCAAAATATCGGGATGGTGGTCGAAAATATCTTCATTTGCTGTGGTTTCAGAAAATTTGGATCCATATTCTACGTAGTCCATTTAATAATAAAAAGCAAATAACTGCTCAGTGGTATGTGAAAAAAATTTATATAAGTCTTATTTGTGGCTAAATATATCGAAACAGTTTTTCATGAAATTAAGACTCATTTTCTACAAAATCCATATCGCAGCAGAAATCAAGTAACTGCTCAGCTAAATCAAGCTTGAGCACTTGAAAAAGCTTGACTAAGTGTTAACTGTAGCTAAATATAGCGAAACAATTTTTCAAAGAACACTAACTTACAAACTTAAAGTAAATCTTTT